GGAAACGACCCCCAGCGTCTCGCCAGAGGTGTTTCGCTGGGCTGTCCGTACACGACAGGAGGGAGGAGGAGGAGGAGGAGGAGGAGGAGGAGGAGGAGGAGGAGGAGGAGGAGGTGGAGGAGAAGGAGGAGGAGGAGGAGGGAACGAGGAGGGGAGGAGGAGGCGGGGAGGAGGGAGGAGGGAGGGAGGAGGAGGGAGGGAGGGAGGGAGGGAGGGAGGGAGGGAGGGAGGGAGGGAGGGGAGGGAGGGGGGAGGAGGAGGAGGAGGAGGAGGAGGAGGGCGGAGGAGGAGGAGGAGGGGAGAGGAGGAGGAGGAAGGAGGAGGCGGAGCAGGAGGTGGAAGAAGGAGGAGGAGCAGGAGGAGGGGCAGGAGGAGGAGGAGGAGGAGGAGGAGGGAGGAGGAGGAGGAGGAGGAAAGAAAAAGAAGAAGAGGAGGAGGGGGAGGAGGAGGAGGAGGAGGAGGAGGAGGGAGGAGGAGGGGGAGGAGGAAGGAGGAGGAGGAGGTGGAGGAGAGGGGCGGAAGGAGGAGGAGGAGGAGGAGGGAGGAGGAGGGAGGAGGAGGAGGAGGAGGAGGAGGAGGAGGAGGAGGAGGAGGAACATGAGGAGGAGGAGAACAAAAAGGAGGACGAGAAAAAGGGGTTCTGACCCACTCCAGGACGCCACTCCCCGAGTCTGTGAGAACGGAGGGGCTGAGAGACAGGGCCTTCCCTCGCTACCCTCCCCCCCCAGTTCTACACAGAACGGGGAGCTGGCGTTCCGCAAGCAGGAGGTGCGTCCCCGTAGACCCCGAGCAGGAGGTGCGTCCCCGTAGACCCCGTGCCCTCCCTCGTCTTCCCCTGTTTGGGCCTCCTCGCGGGCCCTCGCCGCCGCCCGCGGGTTCGCCCCGAGGTTCCTGCCGGAACGCACCCCGGGAGAGGTCTGGGGAGCAGCGGTGTCGGGCCGGTCCTCCAACCCCGAAGGATTTCCAATGGCAGTGCGCCCGCTGGCAGACCTGGAAGCTCGGATCAGTGATCTTCCTCCACCTCCTCCTCCTCCTCCTCCTCCTCCTCCTCTTCCTCGTCCTTCTCCTCGCCTTCCGTCTTCTCTCTCCCTCTCCCACTCTCTCTCTCTCTCTCTCTTTCTTTTGTTTTCCTCTCTCTCTCTCTCTTTCTCTTTTTTTTTGTTTTCTCTCTCTCTCTCTCTCTCTGGATTCCCCAGTCTTTTGCCCCCTGCAACATGGGGCTCATACCCCACATTGCTTCCCTCCGCGTGATATCCTTCCTCTCGACTACCTGGTACCCGCATGGTCGACCTGCCCTGCGTATGCTAGCTATCTATTTGGTCGTGACCTCATCTTCGTCGGCCACAGCTCTAATCTAACATGTCAGTCCGTTCTCGCATCACCCTTCACCTCCTTATCGGTTATCATAGCTGAAGCCAAGCAAACAAAACTACCCACACTTTGTTGTGCCCAGTTTCGGCCCTACTTTGCTCTCTGCTTATGGGGGTACGATGGGGCGGATGATTCATGCCACTCCTGTCACTCCGATGTCCAGATTGCTACGCTCCCATTGAGATCGATTCTACATGAAGGAGGAGGAGGAGGAAGAGGAGGAGGATGAGGAGGAGGAGGAGGAGGAAGAGTCTTCTGGTTCGATGGGGTTCTGGCTCCACATGCGTTGGCCCCTCATGCAGGGCTTTCGCCCCTCGTCAACTGACCCTTCATGCTGGGCCTTTCTAATTTCCCAGACTTCTTGCCTCAAGTCGGGCATGTCCCTCTGCAGAAGGAATATTCAGAAATAGTACAAAGATAGTCAGGTGACGATTTGTCGACTATGTTTGTTCCCTACCTAGGCTCTGCCTAGAAGGGTTCTTACCCTGTGTGCTTAAAGGGCCAGGCAGTGCAAATCGCCCCGGGCGGTTCCCCCGGGATCCGCCCCGCGGTTCCCCCAGTTACGTCCCCTTTTACTTAGCGTTGCTTATCTCATCTTAGCTTAGCTTATTTCATCTTAGCTTAGCTTAGTTTCATATGAGCTCAGGTTTATCTTAGCTTAGCGCATCTTCATCTTAGCTTCGCTGAGTTCTAGCAGAGCACAGCATAGCATTGCATAACGTAGCATAGCATAGCGCAGCACAGCATATCATAGCATAGCCCAGCATAACATAGCATAGCACAGCATAGCATATCATAACATAGCGCAGCACAGCACAGCATAGAACAGCGCAACATAGCATAGCAGAGCATAGCAGAGCATAGCATAGCATAGCAGCAAAGCAAAGACAAGGCAACACCAGCGACAGCAAAGCAAAGCGCAAGCAACGCAAAGCAAACCACATCAAACCCATTAGCATGGGTGTAATTCCCTACCTAGGCTCTGCCTAGCGGGTTAGCTTAGCTAAGCTTAGCGCAGCGCTGCATTTGCATATCATAGCATAGCATAGCATAACATAGCCAAGCATGGCATATCATAGCATAGCATAGCATAGCATATCATAGCGCAGCATACCATAGCATAGCATAGCAAATCATATCATAGCGCAGCTTATCATATCATAGCATAGCTTAACATAGCACAGCGCAGCATGACATATCATAGTTTATCATGTCATATCATAGCGCAGCATAGCATATCATATCATATCATATCATAGCATAGCGCATAATAGCATGGCATAGCATAGTATAGCATAACATAGCATAGCATAGCATAGCATAGCATAGCAACTAATGCTGCTTTCCTAGGGGCTCCAACTTCTAGGTAGGGTCGCACTGGGGTAATGTGTTTATGAGTTTTGTTTTAACTATTTTTAGTTGTTCGTCCAATTTCCGCCTGTCGGAGGACATGCCCGACCTAACTCCTCTTGCAACTCATCAAGGGCGCCCTCGAGGGCGCGAAGTTGTTCGCGCTCCGCGGTTCGGCTCCGATTCCTCCTCGTCCTCCTCCTCTCCCCTGGGAGGCGGCGCGAGAGCGCGAAGTTGTTCGCACTTCGCACTTCG